CGCCGAACGAGGCGCAATAAGTCTCTGGCGTGAATTGTTGTTTTCCATTGTGAAGTTTGTAATCAGACTGTGTTTTTGGTTCTAAAGTGAGGAATAATTGAAGTAATGATGATATAATGATTGTATTAAAGTATAATGATTAACATAATGATTGGTACTTTGATTGATATAATGATTAACATAATGATTGGTACTTTGATTGATATAATGATTAATATAACGATTGTTATTATGATTGATATAATGATTAAATAATGATTTATTTATTTTGTTTTGATTAAATAGTTTTTGTATTAAATATTTTAATGTTAATTTGTTTAGGGTTGGAATGATAAATTAATATTTGTTATTTTTGGATTGATAAATCTATATTAAATATTTAATTAATTTAAATAGATTCATTAGGAATTTGTAATGCATTATTTAAGTTTACATGCTAAGTGTGAAATTTAGTTAATTTTAAAAGGATAAATTAATTAAATATTATTGGATTAAATTATTTTAATCGTTTATTTAGATTTCAATTAATTTAATCAGAACATGAAGATGTACAATTCTGTTAATATGCATGTTAATTTCTTGTGATGTAAATTAATTGTATACTATTTAGAATTGATATTTTTTCTCAAGTAAATACAAAGAATGTGTTTATGATTTATATCATATTTATTGGGATTATTAAATGTAAATATTATTTACATTATCCTTAGATTGAAAACTGTTATTTGGTTATGTTATGAATTAATGCACTATTATGGGATGGGAGCATATTAGGGACGGATTAACTTACGAGTTAAGTCCTACCTATTTTTAATAAGGGAATGAATTAACCACAGTATTAAATCCTACTTATTCATGTCAGGTCAACGGAATAGTTGGATGACATTTTATTAAAATAATAATTGGATAGTTTATTTTTGATGTTTGGATTAGGACGGATTTTACATATATAATTATACACCACGATATGAGCTTGATTCTCAAGATCAGTGGTCAGGATGCATATATTGACAGGGATGTGTAGCTAGATATAGTGTAGTTGTGTACCCTGGTAGGTCTAGGTACTCATGCCCACTATATGTGTGTTTTGCATGTTGCCTACTATTCAGGTTGAGACAATTCTATAGTCTAGTGAGGTTCCTTTAGTGTGTGTATATCCATATATGGACTATTTAGTTATTGTTGAATTAATTAGGATGTGTACGTGTATTGGGTCTCTGTTTGGGATGTAGTAGATATAGAACTTGTATGTGGGCCTGACCCACCATTATTTTTCAGGTGTTCGTCAGTTCCAGTCTTAGAGATTGTTCGTGCCGAACAGAGACAGTCATTCACTCTTCCGACTCTACGTAGGACTCTTCTTCATGGTTTAATTATTAGTTTTATTTCAGTTCAGTTATTTCAGTTAGGATATTATTAGGGGTCCACAATATGGATTCCCGAGTTGTAGTTTTAATTAATTGCTGGTATCAGAGGATTGGAGGATTTTAGTATGGGATTCTTAATTATTATTTATTTGAGGATTTTAAAATTGGGACTTATTATTTAGTTTCATTCAGCTTATTATTTATTTATTTATTTATTATTCTTTTTGTATTCAAATGCTTGTTTAAATATTAATTGTTTGATATCCCTTGAATCTGTGCTCGGACTTGATCACCCGTGGCTCTAGAATCGAGAGGTATCACTTATTTAAAGACCTAATCTTTCATAAAATAAACGAAATTTCATGTATAGGACTTTTGGTATAATTCTAAACCAACTAGGAAGGAAATCTAGAACCGGAAACAAACTTACCTAATCCTGTTAGAAGACCTTGAAGGTTTAAGAAAGGCTGAACCGGTTCAAGAAGGCCAGTGAATTTTCGAAGCAAAGGTTGAAGGCTTGAACCGGTTCAAGATGTGCCTTTAAACTAGAAGGCCGAAACTTCGTAAAAACACTGTTTTAAAATTTTCTAAAAATATACCAAGTATGGAATGTGTCCTAACCTTCTTAGGTCTCTTTCTAAAGTGTTGTTCTTTCCTTTCTTGATGATCTCAATATAGTATCTTTGAACAACCTTCCAATTCCGTAGTTAATCTCGATCCTGATATGGTAACTTGAAATTACAACTCGATCGGACTTATTTTGATACGAAAATTTGCTAATTACAGAATTTATATCTCACAATCTCCCCCTTTGGCAATTTCGTGACAAAATCTTAAAAATAATTAAGTAATCTACCCAAACAGAAAAGTAAATTACAATTTTGTTCAAAGGACAACATAGAATTTCTTCTCTGTTCTCTTCACTTCTTGGATAAACAATTTGACCTGATTTCTTGCACAATATCAAGCAAAAACTATCAGTGAAGTTTACTAATTTTTTTTTTTTAAAACTCCCCCTTAAGTAAATATCCAGAAAAAATTATAAAACTCCCCCTTAAGTAAATATCCAATTAATATCCAGTTTTTCTCCCCCTTAAGATAACATTGTTCTCCCCTTTTTTAGAACAAATTGACAAAGATCATAAGGTTAGAGTAGAGAAAAATAAAGAGAAACAGATTAAATCAGTTAAACATGTCATTCAATCAAAACATAATATCCAAAAATAATGAATATGTTAACAAAAGTATGATGTCATGATGCATGATTAAGAACAAAATATCTAACATCAATATTTCTCCAAAAATAATGTGAGAAAGACATCAATAGTCCCCACCACTCTCCTCATCATCATCCTAATCAACATCACCATCCTTATCTGAATACTCATCATCATCATCCTCAGCCCTTAATGATGGATCTAGAGGAGCAGGCTGGTAAACATCATCTGAAGAACCTCCTGGCTGCTGTCCTCTAAGCTGTCCCATATGAAACTTGAGATCTAATATCTCATCCATCATCTTATTAAATATAGTAGTTTGATGTTGAAGAAGAATATAGTACGTCATGTTGGCATCAGCTTTAGAAAAATTTCCTTTAGGAGGAAATAACTGTGTAACCTCCGGAGCCTATGAAGGTGTCTCATCAGCAACTCTCTAAGCCTTGCTTGCATTCGCCTTAGTTGATTTGGACTTGTTCAAAGCACGAGCATTCAACTCAGTCATAATACGCTGATGATATGCCCTGGGAGGAATCAGAATCTTCTTTTGCCTATAGAAATTCATGATGATCATCGGAAAAGGTGATGAATAGCGACGCGAGTTCCTTTTGTAATGAGCCATCATCAACTGCACAAGAGATGGTGCAAGCTGGATGCGTTCACCCATAGCAAGAAAATAAATAACCTGTGCTCGCTCGAGAGTGATCTCGTCTGTCTTCCCAAAATATCCTAGATTGGCCATGGCGAATAAGTTAAAGAATGCCGCCTCATTTGTCAGAAAACGAGCTGGAATGTTATCATCATTCCTTGGAGAATTAGGAACACAAATCTTAGCTGCAATTTGGGGAAATTCTGGACCCGAGACTTCCAAAGGTAACACTTGTCCCGTCATTGGATCTTTATCCGGAATATTCAAGATGGATTGGATGGCTTCTTCATCGACCGTATAGTCAGTCCCAAATAGCGACATAATGAAGTACGTATCATAGGTTGCTCGAATATTGGCATAAAAGTAATGTACCATGTCCGAAGAAAAATAGCTATTACCAAGTTTGGTAAAGAATAGCCATTTGTTCTTCTCAATATATGTCACAAGGTTCTGTCCAGCGGTGTCACGAAGTTTTTGCAAATTAACAGTCCTCTCGGTTTTAATCAGACCATCCTTGTAAACGTCAATGTATGCCTTCCATGCAAGGTCATTGTAGAAGTGAGCTTCTTCAAAGTCGACTTTTTCAGTGGCTGAGACAGAGGGATACCCAGATGGTACCTCTCGTGATGGAGAGTCAGTCATCGTTGGAGTGGAAGAAGTGTCTCGTGGAGTATTAGAACCACCTTGGGGTTCACGGATGACAATGCCCATTCTTGGTCTCTTGGGAGGCTTTAGGAGTGCAACCCCTTTGCCTTTAGCTTCCTTAGAGATCTTTGGTGCCATTTGATTCACGGAAATTTTTGGTTTGAATCTTGTAACCTCTCTCGGGAATTTTTTTCAAACACTTGGTGTGCAACTCCAAAGTGTTTATCAAAAATCTTGATTTTAATCTTCAATCTTCCCCAAAACTATCAACAAAGCAAGATTGTAACCCCAATCACACTTAAAACTTCAATATTCTTCACTCAACTCAAAAGATTAACCAATCCTCCAAGTTCAAACCCAAACTCCACAAACTTCAATTTCAAACTTTCAATTCTCAAATTTCAAACTTCAAATTTTGTTTCTCAATCCCAATCATGCAATGGAACAATAGAATGATGAACAAATTATGATATGAAGTGATATAGATGATGTGGATATGTATATATGAGAGTTGTGAGCAATATGGAGTGAAGGGGCAAAAAATCGCACATAATAGAGAGAGCAAGGAGTGCCAAACAGCGCGCCAACACTCAGCCTTAATAGCCCCACGCGCAGCCTTGAACCGGTTCAGCCAAAGTGGAACCGGTTCAAGACTGACAGTGCCTCGCCATCGAAACAGCGACGCGAAGAAACCCCAGATAGAATCAACTTATTGCCGGACTCACTACTCCTTCACATTCTCTCTTTTTTGCCCATGAAGGACGTTGTCAAAACAGGGGTTTTATCGCCAAGATGGGTATGCCTCTGGACCTCTGTTGAAAACATATCATTCACTTATCGTAACACACCGTACAATTCCGGTTATATCGCATTATACGAAATGGGTCTCCATAAATTCGTCACATTTGTTCATAAAGCCCTAATTCTCTGCACATCATCTAATGTCAGAAAGTTTTGTCTGGATTTTGGGTATGAACGTCGTTTGGCTTTAAATGTTGATGCGTGGGTTCGATTCGCTATGCAGAAGAATGTGGAGGAGTTGGAGCTGAATTTGTATAATCGATGCCCAGGTAATCGATATAAGTTGCCACAACATTTCTATGCCAATTCAGCATTAGCAAAATGAGTTTGTCCAAGTGCAAGATCATACCATACAAGGCTTTTCAATGGAGTTCCCTTAGGGCTTTGACAATTAAGTGTACAGAGGTTTCTAGTCGTTCTATTCAAAAGATTCTATTGGGCAACCCTGTATTGGAGTTTCTGGAATTGTATTGGTGTTGGCTTGATGATCACTTGAATATCAATTCTGCAAGTTTGAAGAAATTGGTGATAAGGGGCTATAGGAACCCATTTCTTGAAGAAGTGGATTCTGAGTTGATAATCTCAGCTCCTAAGGTTTTGTCACTGGAAATTCTGGGGTATATTATGAGTAAGAAGATTCGGGTAGTGAAAGTGCCATCTTTAGTTGAAGCTAAGCTGAATTTTGAACAAGATTATGACACGAGATGATTGTAATGCGCAGAGAGATATGTTGGCTGGTCTTCTTGTGTGCCTTCAGCATGTTAAGGATCTTACCTTAGGGTCTTTCTGTATTCAGGTTGGTTGTTAATTGGTACTCCTCTCTTTTCTCATTTCACTTGCATGTATTACATGTTTTCATTATGTGTTGAAAGTTTGAAACATGTGGATGGAATCTCCAACTTGGAGTTGCCGCCATAGATTTTATTTTTTATTTTTGGTTTTGTTTTTCTCTATTTTATAGTCTTGCATAAAATAGGGAAATGCCCTTTTTTCTTGTTTTATTTGCTTTACATATACAAACAATTGGAGTAATAACTGGCAAATGATGTTTTCAGTATCTTGACGAGCTATGTTGTGTACTCTTTTTTTTTTCTCTTCTCTATAGAAAATATATCATTTAACCAGATGATAATGGCCATTGAAAATTTTAATTAGTGGAAACATGGATGATGTTGAGAATTTGCATTGTCCAATAGGTTGAACATATTGATGTTTTAATGAGCACGTCTAAACTGAGTAGTTCAATTGACATCCAACACATGTTAATCAAATTACATGGCAATTCATCTAAATAAGTAAATTTAGCAACCCAAATATCTATTATGGTTGCTTAGAACAGTCTCTGTTGTACATTTTTAAACTCTTCTGGACGAGCTAGGTTTCTTGCTTCTTGCTCTGTAATGAGGAGTAAATAATTGCTGTAGATTTTAACATATATAGAATGCAATGTCTCTTGACTGCACACCCATTATGTCCCCTTGGGGCTTTAAGCCTTTAACCCTCAGCTTTCCCTTTGGGGAGGTGTTGGTCTTACCACCTGGGCCGACTGCCCAGTATCCCTGGACTTTCTCTGTTTATAAAAACGCAATAAATCTTCAATATAGGATGTATTATCTGTTTGTAAACAGAACCCATGTCTTAATTCTATAACAAGTATTATCTGTTCGCGTAAATTTGTCATAATTGGAAGAAAGGGCTTACTTTTATTGTTCCATTCTCAGAGATTAGTATTATATATATTTTTTCTGTATATTCATATCATTATTATTATTGTTGTTGTTATTATTATTATTATTATCAATTTAATTTCCTCCTGCTATGAATGGCCAAGGTCCTAGCAGCACTAGAGGTGAAAGGTCTGCCATCTCCCTTGTCAGAGTGCAAACGTTTAACGTTAATCATGCACATGAAGAAATGGGACCTCCCAGGTATAGCAAGCGTGCTACAAAGTTCACCTGATCTAGAGACATTAGTCATGGATTTGGCCTCACCTTGCTACCCAGAGGTGAATTTTTCTATATCATTTCCTCATTTCTTTCCTTTTACATTCATTTTGAAGTGTGTTTGGAAAGAACCTCAATGATGGATGACTTCTAATCAGTCTCTTTCATCTTGTTTGATAATTTATATCAATTACTCTAGCCAGGTGATATTTAGTGTAAGCTGGGTTAAGGAAAATAAAAGGGCTTGAATTTTAAAGTGATGTTCTCTTCGGATGTTATTCACATGTGTTATGTTCACCACAAAAACATTTCTTAAAAAATTAGATGGAAAAGACATTAAATTGACCATTACAATTTGTTGAAGCTGCTTTTAGCTTATGCCTTGTATTTGATCATGTGGCACACAATGTGTAACTATAATTTACATTACATTTCAACCTATTTAAGTTCATCTATATTTTTTCTTTGACTCAATACAATTTTTACTGGGAGGACCTTGGAAACTAGACATCATCAGGAGCACTGGTTTTCAAAGGCTTGGTCCTGCTGTTAAGAATTACAATTCTGGTTATGAATACATAGGTGATGGAGAATATACTAATCGTTGGTTTAAGTTTTGTACTTTGTTATATACTGCACAAACTACTCCAAGTAGCTCATATTGTTATGCTTCCTCAGATCCACTCAGGAGGCTGTAGTTATGTTCACCAACTAAATTTTAATGAATTTTCGATTCATTCCATCATATTTGTGATTTTGTGATATTATTGGTTACATTTCTAGGTATGTGGTAGTTTTGTAGCGTACTGTTTAGTTTATACATAGAGGAAAAACTTCTTAAATAAAGGAGCTCGCAATGCACAGTTTGACTAATTCTTGTCACTTGTCATGATACTATCCTAATTTAATTTTTCTGGTTTCTTGCTTCTGAATTTATGATTAAAAAACTCACTCCGAAGGTGGAAATGAAATTCTCTGTTGTTACTTGCCTAATATATTTTACTTCAAAAAATCTTCTTTAAAAAAACAGACTCGAGAGATTTATTTCAGAGATAAGAGGAAATCATTCTTTGACTGAGTTGGTTTTAGAGGCTCCCAGAATACAGCTATACATGCATTGTGTTCCGACCTACTCAATCTCTACTTGTTGTTTAAATTTCCCCCCCTATTTTCTCAGGTCTTGTGATTTTGATGGAGAGAGCTACTGGACATCCAAAAGCGAGATTTTAAGTGTTTGTTGCTGCATCTGAAGACTGTTAAGATTGCTGGCTTCATAGGAGGTTCTTGTGGATTTGAAGTTGCACTTGTACAATTTCTGCTTCAGAATGCATGGGTTTTGGAGAAGATGATTGTCAATGCAGGAAGGGTTGGTTGGCCCCGATACTCTACTTCCAGCATATGCTCAGAATTTCTCCAGTTGACTCAAAAATTGTCAAGCTTTCCAAGATCCTCCCCTCACGCGGTAATGTTGTTCCCTGAAGTGAATATGCCATAAACAATTCCACTCTCATAATGACATTAGTGGATGTTTGTTTTTGTTCCTGGATTATCATTGGATGTTTTGTTTAGTATTCAGTGGATATCTATTGCTGTTTTTATTTATGCAATGCAGTTGAACTTGAAGGTCCAACTTAAAATATGGATTTATCCTGTAAAAAACTTTCAAATTGGGGCAACAAATTGGCAAATGAAGAAGTGGTGGTCATGGCTTATATGTTTGTGTAGTTTGCTTTATATTCAATGTAGGCCTGATAATGCACCCAAAAAAAAAAGAATAGTTTACCTAAAAGGTAAGCAACAAAGATGCCAACTAAAACTCACATGAAATGAAAATCTAAATTTAAGAGAGGAAAAAAGAAAAGAAAAGAAAATTCATATTGGTGAAATTTGCAACAATTTGATGTTATTTGTTGGGCTTTTTAATTCCAACCTAAATGTTTTTTTTTTTTTCCACCAATAATTGATGTTATCTGGATTTATCCTGTAAATGTTTTTTTATTTTTATTTTTTAATAATTAATGTTATTTGTTGGGCTTTTATTATTTATTATTTATTTTTTAATTCCAATCTAAATTGCTATGTTAAGAGGTATAAAAGGCGCTAAATATTTTTTCGGCTTTATTGATTTCCCGCCGTTTTTGGCAATCCACATTTCCAAGCACGTTTAGATGCATACAATCAGGGTAGTGGAGAAAAGATATATTCCGTACAATCAAGCTAGGGTTTGTTTTCTTTTCCTCATGCCACCGGGAACAAGAAGAAACCCTCTATTTTTCAGGTCGAATGGCCATTACAACACAAACTATAATTCTTATGATGATGACGAAGAAGAGCAGGACAAAAGCCACCACAGAGAATATGATACTTACGACGAAGACGACGACGATGAAGAAGAAGAGGAACAACCCAGCTTTGATTTCAGTGGAGATGAGAAACCCCGTGGTTCAGACGGAGACGAGTCAACCGATTGCGACGAAGAAAGCTTATTGCTGCCGCGTTCGCTTCCGCAGCCACCACCACCGTCTCTGCCGCCAGACAAAACCAGTGCCTCGCCATCGAAACAGCAACGCGGAGAAACCCCAGATCGAATCGGGTCATTGCCGGACAAACTACTCCTTCACATTCTCTCTTTTTTGCCCATGAAGGACGTCGTCAAAACAGGGGTTTTATCGAAAAGATGGGTATACCTCTGGACTTCTGTTGAAAACATCTTATTCAGTTTTCGTGACTTACCAAATGATTCCAATTATTTCAGTAATCGTATCTCACCATACGAGAAGGGTCTCCAAAAATTCATCTCATTTGTTGATAAAACCCTAATTCTCTGCACATCATCTACTGTCAGAAAGTTTTGTCTGGATTTTGGGTATGACCGTCGTTTTGTTCCAACTGTTAATGTGTGGGTTCGATTCGCTATGCAGAAGAATGTGGAGGAGTTGGAGCTGACTTTGTATAATCGATGCCCGGGTAATCGATATAAGTTGCCACAGTATGTCTATACCAATTCAGCATTAGCAAAATTGAGCTTGTCCAAGTGCAAGATCATTTCATACAAGGCTGTTCAATGGAGTTCCCTTAGGGCTTTGACAATTAAGTGTACCGAGGTTTCGAATTATGCTATTGGAAAGATACTATCAGGCAGTCCTGTATTGGAGTTTCTGGAATTGTATAGATGTTGGCTTTTTGATGATCGCTTGAATATCAATTCTGCAAGTTTGAAGAAATTGGTGATAAGGGGCTATAGGAACCCATTTCTTGAAGAAGAGAAAGAAGAGTCGGTAATCTCAGCTCCTAAGGTGTTGTCACTGGAAATTATGGGGTATATTATGCGTAAGAAGTTTCGGCTAGAGAAAGTGTCATCTTTGGTTGAAGCTAAGCTCAATTTTGAACAAGATTATTCCCGTTTGGATGACTATCAAGCGAATAGAGATATGTTGACTGGTCTTCTTACGAGCCTTCAGCATGTTAAGGATCTTACCTTAGGGTCTTTCTGTATTCAGGTTGTTTGTTAATTGGTACTCCTCTCTTTTGTCATTTGACATACATGCATTACATGTTTTCATTATGTGTAGAAAATTTGAAACATGTGGGTGCAATCTCCAACTCGGAGCTGCCACTATTGAATTTTTCTGTTTTTTTTCTTCTCTATTTTATAGCCTTGCATAAAAATTGGGAAATACCCTTTTTTCTTGCTTTACATATCTAAACATTTGGGGTAACTACTTGCAAATGATGTTTTCAGTATCCAAATGAGCCATTTCGTTTACTCTTTTTCATTTTTTTTTTCTCACTATAGAAGATATATAATTTATTTAGACCAAAATGGCCATTGAAAATTTTAATTAGCAAAACAAATACGATGTTGATAATTTGCACTGTCCAATAGGTTGAACATATTGGTTTTTTAATGAGCACGTCTAAGCTAAGAGTTCAATTGACATCCAACATATTTTAATAGGATTACATCGCAATTTATCTAAATAAGTAAATGTTTTGGCCCTAATTTTAAGTTTAACTAATCAGGAGAGCAATTGCAAATAATATACCATCAATTGTCATTGTTTGTGTTCCATGTGCATTTTGTGACAATTAACCTTAATGATGAAGTACCTTCACATTCTTGATGCAAGGACAGATTTTGAAGGTGTAATTATTGGAACATTTGAGCAAAACCAAATATCTATTGTGGTTGCTTAGAACAATCTTTATTGTACATTTTGAAACTCTTCCAAAACTTAAAAAAAATGCAATTTCTCTCGACTGGGTATGATGCATGTTGTATATATTGAAACTCTTCCAGACAAGTTAGGTCTTTTAACAAGGAGTCCAAATCTTAATCCTGAAATGAGTTCTCGCGGAACTTTGTCATAATTGGGAGAAAGGGCTTGCTTGTATTGTTTCAATCTCCGAGATTAGTAAAGGATTATTTTTTTTCCTCTATATATTCAGATTGTGTTATTATTATTATTTGTTATAATTTTAATTTCCTCCTCCTGCTCTGATTGGCCCAGGTCCTATCAACACTAGAGGTGAAAGGTCTGCCATCTCCTTTGTCAGAGTGCAAACGTTGAACACTAATCATGCACATGAAGAAATGGGACCTCCCAGGTATAGCAAGTGTTCTACAAAGTTCACCTGATCTGGAGACATTAGTCATAGACATGGCCTCACCTTGCTTCTCGAAGGTGAGTTTTTCCATTATCATTTCCAGATTTCTTTCATTTTACATTCATTTTGAAGTGTGTTTGGAAAGAACCTCGATGATGGATGACATATCAATTATCTCAACCATGTGATACTTAGGCACCGTTTGTTTGAGTGTAAAATATTTGTCTTGTAAAATGTTTTCTAAGCAACATTTTTTCATATAGAATGTTTTCCTTATTTTTTATTTTCCGGTGTTTGGCAAATGTTTTGAAAATATTTTTCAAAAAATAAGTTTGGTGAATCAAAATTCTTACTTGAGTCATTGATTATCCAATTTCTCTCTTACATATCAATTGGTCCAATTATTTCCATACCAACAATAATAATTATTTGACAAGAAATATAAAAAAATAATCGATTGATTTTTTAAAAATGATAAGGAAACCGAAACAAGTCTCTCTATCATCGAATGCAACAAGTGAGCTACGCCTCTTTGTGTGTGGTGGTGCATCTGGCTTGAGAGGAATAGGAGATATTTTGATGGCAAGGAGAAGCCTATCTCTTTTCTTAAGTTCTCTATTATTTTCACTCTTTTTTGTTGGGTTTCTGGTAGAGATTATAGATCTTTAGAGGATATTGTTGTTTTCTTGGCCTCTTTGAAGGTTTAGAGGCCCGTTTTGGGCCTTGTGTTATTCTATTGGGATGTGTTCCCCTTTTGAGCGTTTTCTATGCATTTCTTACTTATCAAAAAAAAAAAAAAAAAAAAAAAAGAAGCTTTGTCTATGTATTATTATTATTATTATTATTTTTTTTCTACACTTTGTATATCACTTAAGGTTTTAAGAACTAGTACTACATGTTAATCACAAAGCCAATAATAATGATAAAAAATATAATAATAAAAACAAATTGAAGAAACCAAAAATAGGAAATTGTATGATTGTTGTTGTTAAAGAAGAGATTAACCTCGTTCCTCTCGCCCTACAATATAAACACACAATTTGGTGTTGGGCCTATTGGCTCTTCTTTTAGCAGTTTTTTTTTTCTTTTCAGTCACTATAGCACATATTAAAGGGCTCCTCTCTTTCTCTCTCTAAAAACTCTCATTTAAAGGGCTCTTTTCTTTCTCTGCCCTCTTTCTCTCTCTAAACTGCTTTTTTGCCACTGTGTAACTCTTCCACGTACTTGATTGACGTTTTCGAAGCCATGTGCTTTTATTGAGGAGATCGAGAGTGAGATTGATTGATAGGCTCAGAAAACGATTTTCGGAGGATTAATTGGTAAAGTTGGTTTGGTTAAGTTTTGAAAAATTATTTTTCTCCGCAAAAAAATTTCTTTGAATTTGGGACTACGAAACACTAGAAAACACAAAATATTTTTCAGAAAATGTTTTACGCTCAAACAAATGGAGCCATAGTGTAAGCCAGGTTATAGGAAAGTAAAAGTGCTTGAATTTTGAAGTGAAGTTCTCTTTGGATGTTATTTGCTTGTGTAATCTCCACCCTAAAAAAAAAAAAAACTTCAAAAATTAGATGACAAGGCATTATTCTTGGTTATATATATAGCATACTTTTTAGTTTATACATAGAGGAAAAAGGTCTTAAATAATGGGCTTGCAATGCACTATGTATCCTAAGTTCTCATGGTACTATGATCACTATCCTTCTTTATTTCTTGGCGACTTGTTTTTTGATGTGCAAATTTATTTTAGGTGTATTGTTACTTGTGTCATGATTGAATGAATGTTAACAATCTATTTCACTACAGCTAATTATAATTTTATTTTTCTTTCCTAATTATAATTGATGTATAATTCCAATAAATACAATGTCAAAGTTAATTTATGATTTTAAAGAATCACCCCGAAAATGGAAATGAAAATCTTTGTTATTTCTTGCCTCCCCTTGCCACTCAGGGGTGAGTTTTTCCATTATCACTTCCACATTTCTATCCTTTTACATTCATTTTTAAGTCTGTTTAGAAAGAACGTCAATGATGGATGACTTCTAATCAGTCTCTTTCATCTTATTTAATAATTCATATTAATTACTCTACCCGAATGATACTTAGCGTAATGTCACGTTGTGATTCCTAACGACACCATGAGCATTGAAGACACGCATGCTGGTTGGCAAAGAGTAGAGATTGACTCGTGACAGTAAGCTGGGTTCTAGGAAAGTAAAAGGGCCTGAATTTTGAAGTGAAGTTCTCTTTGGATGTTATTTGCTTGTTATCTTCACCTTGTTTTGTTTTATTTTCCTTTGAAACAATTAGATGACTGAAGGCATTAAATTGACCATTACAAGTCTTACATTCATTGTTGAAGCTGCTTTTAGTGGCTCCCTTATATTTGACCATGTGGATCACAATGTATAAAGAATTTACATTTCAACCTAAATAAGTTCATCTATAATTTTGTTTTGACCAGTTTTAGCGATTCATACCATTTTGATTGGGGTTTTCAAAGGTTTGGTCATGCATCCTGAAGCTGTTAAGATTGCTAGCTTTAGGAGAGGGGAACGTAACTTGAATTGCAGTTGTATTTTTGGTATTATTGGGTATATTTCTGGGTATGTGGTAGTTTTATTGCCTACTGTTTAGTTTATGCACGGGAAAAACTTAATAAAGGAGCTTATTATGCACAACTATGACTAATTCTTGTGAGTTCTCTTGATACTTATCTAATTTATTTTTCTTGTGGCTTGTTTCTTAATGTACAATTTATTTTAGGTGTATTATTGCTTATGTCATAATTGAGTGAAGAATGTTTCTGATCAATTTCACTCCAGCTAATTATAATTGTTGAATAATTCCAATAAATATGACATCGATGTGAATTTGTGATTTTAAAGAGTTGATTCCAAAGATGGAAATGAAATTCTTTGTTATTACTTACCTAAGATATTTTACTTCAAAAAATTTTCTTAAAAGTGACATCTGTGATGGACACTCGAGATTCATTTCAGAGAAAATGGAAGGGCCCAAAATGTACCGCCGGTCCCAAGGAAGAGTCATTCAATTGGTCTTTCTGCCGCTGAAATGTATAGTTTATAACAGAAAATCACTCTGACTGAGTTGCTTTTAGTGGCTTCCCGAATATTATGTTAGTGTGTACAGCAATACATGCATTGAGTTCTGCCCTAATCAAATATTTACTTGTAGATTAAATTTTCCCCCGAGTTTCACAAGTCTTATGATTTTGATGGAGAGAGCCATTGGAAATCGCAAAAGCGGGATTTCAAGTGTTTGTTACCGCATCTGAAGACCATTAAGATTGTTGGTTTCACAGGAGATTCTTGTGAATTTGAAGTTGCACTTGTACAATTTCTGCTTGAGAATGCACGGGTTCTGGAGAAGATGATTGTTAATGCAGGATGGGAGGGGTCCCCGGAATCCTCTTCATCCGGTACATGTTCAGAATTTCTCCAGGTGACTCAAAAATTGTTAAGCTTCCCAAGATCCTCCCCTCATGCGGTAATGATGTTCCCTGAAATCAATGTGCCATAAACGGGCTCCATTCTGGTAAAGACATCAGTGGATGTTTTGTTTATTATTTAACTGATATCTGTTAATGTTTTTATGTATGCAATGCGGTCGAGCTACTTGAGTTGCAAGTGTCATGTGGGTGGTGATGATTATTCCTAGAATTTAATAGGGTGTTTAGACCTATTCTATTTTGTTTTCTTGGTGACATAAGACTTGCTTGCTTTGTAATTGATCTATTGTGGTTGTGTTCCAACTTAGCTATTTTGGTATATAGTATACAAGCTTGTTCCTTGAATGTTTAAGCCAAGAGAAAATCAATGAGTTTGTGGTTTACCTTTGGAGGAACTGCATTGTCCATGGATTTTGCAGGGCTAAACTGTTTATGGTACTTTTCGTCTGCACACTTGGCACTTTCGCTCTGTCATCATTGCGGATCCTGACACCGCTGTCAAGTCAGCGCCTACGTGGCCTTAGGGTGCCACGTGGTGAGGCTCCAGGTTTTGTTACCCACAGACAGACAAGGACAGTTTTTGCAGGGTGAATTTTACCTCAAGAACTGCATGTGGACCACATGCTTCATTCATAAACTTATGAATTGTGATTTTATGGTTAATAATATTTCATACATTTGGACGCTGCTGTTGCCACTCAGATACTCCAACAAGAAAGTTGATTCAACTAAAATGCCTGCTCTGCTTTTTATTCTTCATACAAATTTATAAGTTGTAGCTCATTTACTTTGCTTCTCAGGCCTCAACTAGTGAGTGATCAAGTCATCTGATAGAAAGTTTGGTTTCATTGGTCCAAATAAATGGAAGAAATGGAATAAAGCTTAAAGTTTAGACAAAATTGCCAAAAAAAAAAAAAAAAAATCCCTAGCATTGTATATGGTTCAATACTTGCTTCCTGCCCTATGTAAAAATGCAATGTAATGAGTTGTCCATTAATAATAAATTCTATTATCAAAATGTTAAATTACACCTCTTCCTATAATAACTAGATAACAACTATTTCCTTTACATGACACCATCTTTTAGAAATTGGACTGTAGGCCACAAGATTAATATGAATGAGTCAAATTACTGATTTATTTATTTATTTTTTTTTTTTGGGGTCAAAAAAATGGATAATTTGTCTAATGTGATGTCACATTATAGTACTATATCAAGTTTTCCTCAATTTCATGTGGTTTGCTTTTGAGTGTGATTCTTATTGTTTGTAATGCTGTAAGTGATCTTGATTCCGGCCGGCAGCAATTAATCCCATTATTCTTGACATCTTTTGTTTTGTTTTCATTAGCCATGACAGCCATGTGCTTTGTTGTGGCAATGAGGTCCTCATGATGCCATTGTTTAGACAAAGGGATAAGCCAGAATTTCAGTTCAAAGGATGCAATGTTAGTTCATATTCATTTGGATGTATCGGTCTTTAACTTGTATTGATCTTTCTTTATCTTGATGCATCTTTGCTTTCTTTACTGGGTAAAAAATAAAAATAAAAATAAAAATAAAAATAAAAAATTACATCGTGAATTGTTTTTATATGTCACTATCGAACACATGCAAATCCCTCCGTCTCATATGTACTGGACAATTAATAAAAAAAAATTTCTAACAATGATTTTAAGGAAATACAAACCTTGGACCTTCAAAATGTGAAATGATAGTCCCTTTACCAGTATGTTATACCCTCCATTTTTCTTTTCATAAAAAGAAAAGAAACAAGAAGTGATGACACCCGTGAGCTATTAGAAATGGAATAAGCAAATAATGGTCTCAACTTGCATGCACACAACACTAAGAATATGTAATGGATAAAAGAATTAGGAACCAAAGTTGGTTAGATTCCCGTTAAAAAAAAAGGTTAAATTACGCTGTCTATCCTATGATTTGTAATAATTATAGATATTTTTTTTAAGATTTGAAAATTACTCAAATCTTTTTTAAAAATGAAACTAATGGACATAGACTTCTCTTCTGTTACAGTCAATGCAAGTCAATGATGAATTTTATTGATGTCATATACTGAATAAATTAAAATTCTCATATTACCCTTTGTCCATTTCCTCACTCTCACACATACATATGTGTACTGTAGTAATTTGCCATAACAATTTGAGGGCATTTCAGTAAATTAGATATATATATTAGTGCATTTAACAGCCGTCACTAAGAGTGGAGATCTATGTAAATTAATTTCATTTTTAGGGGAGGTTTGAAAAATTTTTCAAACCATAAAAATATTCCTATAATTATGATAAACAATAAGAGATGTCCGTGTAATTACTCAGTTAAAAATTGTCTCTTTTTTGTCTGCAGAAACTAATTCAGTAATTGGATTCATCCAACAATTCAACAAAGAATGGTTCCAGAATCTCAGCTCAATCTCTGAATCTGTAATTGCTACCTTGGGTTATTATTTTTATTTTTTCCTTCAAAAAACCTTGGTAAGAAAATCAAAAGCTTGGTAGGCTACCCTCTTTGACACAAGGAGAATATTTTAGGTTTTAGCTTTCCTAAAAAGTTATCATTTACCTCTAGATTTAGTGAAAAATTCAAGTTTAAGTCGGGGATGCCACCTCATTGGTACGCAAGGATGCCTACTCAATAAAACATATAGTTCGGTAAAATTAAGGGTTAATTACGACGACACTCCTTGAAGTTTACTTATATTGTCAGGCATATATAAGTTAACTTTTTTTTAAACAAAAAGAACTCCTAAAATTTGATAAAGTTATCAAAACACCCCCTAACACCATCTGTACCCTGACACATAAAAAAAATGACTAAATTATTAAGATTTTGAAATTACAAAGTTAACCTTCTAACTAATTTTAATTAACCAAACTTGCCACATCACTATAACCGTATACATAGACCGAATACACACATATGTGTGTATATATATATATCATCTCCTCTTATATATATATATATATATATAAGAGAGAGAGAGAAGAAACGGGTGGTTGGCTGGTTGCCCCTCCACTGGCGGCACACACCACCATAGCTACTGTCACAGGGCTAAATTACACCACGAATTTTTGCCTCTGCAATGGCACTTGGGGCCACCAAGTCTCAGCCAACACAACAACACAATACACACAATATAGAAATATAAAGAAGGCACACACAGTTTACAGGGACAAGCCCCAACCTTTGCTCATATTAAACATATTACAAAGGAACATGAGTTCGTACAAGGAACAACCAAGGCTCACACCCTCTTCTCTGTTCCCTCTACAAAGCCCACCTTAGCATTATATAGGCCACTCTCAAAACCGCCCATAACTGCCCACTAAGATGATGGATGACACCCCCATCCACCTAGGGTCGTGCTGGCACCCTCTAAATGAGCCAGCACTATAATGCAGTTGACAAGCCCAACTGCTAGACTTGTTGGCATGTTCTGCTCATGCCACATAACCACAAGAAGTTAGATTCTGCATGGTGGAGGAAACCACCCTTAACCGCCTGTGTGTTGGTCCTCTCAGAATTGTGCCACATGTTTGGGAGGTTACTCAGCACTCCCCCACTTCCCATGATGAGTGGGAAGTGCTAGTAACTTCCCCCAACCAACCGAGCCCACTAAGCCACCACCTCTTGTAACCGCAAGCCATGACTTTGTGTTATCCATGCTCTAGCCACATCTGAGTCAACCTTGTGAACCTAGCCCAAGTCCACCAATCTGCACCCACATATATATGTCTCTGAGTGCACGGCGTGCCAAGCCATGCACGCCCGTGCGCACGCTCGGGTGCACACCAAAGTGCACGCCGGCGCACACACTAGTGCCCTTCTTTGCGCGCCATGTTTGTACCCTCATGCGCCCGTGGCTGCACACCCACCTGGACGCCCATGTGCACGCCGAGCTAGACGCTCGCGCACACTAGGTTGGACGCCTACCCGCGCGCCAACCTGCACGCCCGCACGCACGCCGCTGCACTCCAGCGCGCGTGTCGGTGCACACTTATTTGCCCTTCAATATCTTGGATGCTCCCCACTTGTGCAACCATCTTGGAGTGGTGCAACACGTGCCCATGCACGTTGGCTAAGCCCTCTAAGCAAGCCATGCCATAGCCCAACCGATGCGCTCAACAGACCCCCCCCCCCCAATATAGTCTTAAGGAAATCCAGCACTCTGACAGGAGTAAACATCACCCATGCTTGAGGAGTCATAATGGCCTTTCAGACCTTTCCCGACATCCAAATTAAGTGCCGTCTGCGCCAACCAGCTTCTATGGACTCAAGGTATCTCCCATAAAGATCCCGAGTCAAAACTCCAAGTTTCACTTTTCGCCATATTTACGAAAGTGCCACTGGGCACCCCCAGTGCACGCCGAGCATCCTTTTAAGCATCTTGTGTGCACGCTGAGCATCTTGTGCACGCTGACAACCCACTGAGCACCCTCATGGCTGTCTAATCAAAGCCAAAGTATTCCTAAGACATGGCATGGCCTTGAAATGCCCATGTCTTCCCTTGGACAACTGTCAAGGGGCTAACAAACCACCCCCACCAGAAGAAGTCAACGCCCTCGTCGACTTGTCCAAGTACTCCTTTACCTGTTTCTCAAACTGCCATAATGTCACATCTCTTTCCCAACTAGCCTCTGCTTCGCTGCATCCTTTCCATTGCACCAAGTAGTCAGTTCTGCGATTTTTCTTACTCTGACCTTGGGTCCGGTGAGACAAAATCTTCTCCACCTCCTTGTTAAACTGCAACCGAATAACAGGTGGGGCTCTCTTAGCCTGCTGTCTTGATGTATCTGCAGTGTCCTCATGAAAAGGCTTGAGGAAACTCACATGAAAAGTAGGA